TAGTCTATATAGGTTTGAAGATAAGTTAGTACATTGGTGTCATTATTTTGCTCCAAATGTTTGGATTCCAAGGAGGGATAAGATTTAGTAAGTGTTATAAATTAAATTTTTTTATGTTGTCTACTTTGTCTGGCTCTTATGTTTGGATTATAAAATTCTTTGAGGGATAAAATTTAATGTGTTGTAGATTCAATTTTTTGATGTTGTGTGGTTTATAGGTGGAGGGAAGGAGGAGATAGTTCAGTGGGTGTTATGAGTTTGTGTTATAATTGTTATTTTTTATTTTTTACACAAGGGGTGGGTTTATGACATTGGTTTAGTCTTTCTAGTATGAAAGTGGTGAGTTTGTGACGTTGGTTTAGTCTTTCTTGAACATAGAGTCAGCGAGAAGAATTATTACTCACAATGTTTGGCAGTTGAAAGACAATCAAACTAGCACATAGTGAGGACGGAAGAGTTATTGGATATGCAACGGCAGGAGTACAATAGAAGGTTTGATAAGATGGAAGAAATTCTTAAGAGATTTAATAGAGGAGAAAGAAGTTCATCGCTGAAGAAGCTATGAAAAAGAAGCAGCAGAATGGTCCCAATAGTAGGTTTAGACTTTGGAGGCTTGACTTACAAAACAGAAAAATTATTACATAGAGGAATTATTAGAGGCACATTTGAAAGTTGAACAACAAGAATTATTAGAGGGTGCATTGTATGATATACAAAACATTTTGAAGTGGGGATGATGCCTAATGTGAATTTTATTTATTTTTAACGAAATGTAAATTTTATTTTGAGTTTGTTATTGAAGTTTTTGATTATTGTGCCTTTTGCATTTTATGTTTGTCGTTGGAGTTTGAAAAATATATTTTTGATTCCCATGAATGTGAAATTTGGTGTTGGCGATTGAATTTTTAAACGTACCTTATGTTTGTTGTTAGAGCTTTAACTTTTTAATGTGTATTATGTTTGCTTTAATATTGTTGTTGGAGATTGAAATTTTGGAATATAAATTTGTTATAGAGTTTGTTTGAGTTTGATATTTTAGCTTGGGAATTATAATTTTGTATTTCATGAATGAAATTTAGAATTCTAAATTTGTTGTTCGAGCTTGAATGTTTGAATGTGAAGTATGTTTCATGGATGTGTTTTGTTTGTTGTATTACGTATTATGGTTATGATTTGGATTGTATTTTTAGTTCGTTTTTCTTTTGAAGATTAGATTGTATTATGTGTATACATTATTCATAATTTTAAAATTAAGTGTGATTTTTAATTAATTTCTATTACCATTCATCCTATGCTTAGAATAACAGGAAATATAGCTAATGTTAGAATTGGTTTTTTTAATTTATTGACAAAATTAATAAAATGTTGTTATATTCAAGGTTCGAAATGTCAATGAAGATGAAAATGTAAAGGTCTCGATTTTATGGATATGTCGATGAACATGTCGCTGTCGACAGATATTTCGAGAAACTTATGGAAATTATAAAAATTGATGGAAATTGTTTAAATTAGTAAGGTAGCTCAATTAGCCTATAAGTAATCATTCTTAAATCATAGATAAAAAAAAGAATAATTTACTTTTGAAAATGTCGACATCGATGGAAATATCAAAGCAAGAAAATTAAAATTAAAAAACTAATTAAATATATTTTTTAATTACATAATTAAACCATACATTTAATATCAATATTATGATATTTTTATGTCAAAATAACGTACCTAAAAAAATTTTAAATAAATTTTCATGATTTTGAAAAGAATATGGGAGAAATAGAAGAAGAGGTGTTAAAAATAAATTACTTAATATATTTAAAATAAATATTAATATATTAATAAAAGAATATAAAATTTAAAGAAATATTAGAGCAATTTAAATAGAAAGAAAAAGAAGAGAGAAAGAAAAAGAATGAAAAAGAACTTGAGGGACAAAGTTTGTCCCATCATTTGTAGATGAATGTCGACGAAAAATCGAGAAATTTCCTCTATATGACATGTCGAGGGGGTCGATCCGTCGACCGACATTTGGAACTGTAGTTATATTTAACCACAAGAATAATGTATAAGCAGAGGAAAAATAGTCAGCTCCAACAACAAATCCTCGTACTAGCAACAAAGCAACGAAACTAGTTTTCATTGCTGAATCAAAGAAACATGATAGTTCTCATTGCTAGAGTCCTTTGGCGACGAAACGTTTTTGTGGTTGAATCTCTTTAGCTACGAAATAACGCTTAAGGCAATTTTTCTTGCAGTATGACCAAAATTAGAAACTTAATACCAGAGTGGTATTAAAATTTGGAAGGAGGATTATTTTTTAGTTAATATTAAGTCTGTTTAGATTGAATTGTTTGCTTTTTCTTTTTCTTTATTATACTTGTGTAGTCAAAGTTATCTATTTTTAGACTTTTGATTATTCACTGCAAGGATTTTGAGCTACAACGACAAAACTTCTCCCGACCATAAAAAAAGCATCGACATTGCCCACTTTTCTCGATGCTTTATAAAAAACATCAGAAAAAATACATGAGTTGAAAAATCATAGAAGTGTCCCTTTTCCGATGCGCATTACAAGAATTTTTCTTCTTGCCGACAAAATAATTTGGGAAAAGTCACTTATTGCAATGCAATTATAATTTGTCGCCCTTTCTCGTGATGACATAAATTTCATCCGGAAAAGTGCCTTATGTTGATGCAACTCAATTTCGTCGACAACAATCTTCCTATTTATGTTTGTGTTAAATTATGTTAAAGTACTATAATCAACCCTTGAGTTCTTACACTTTTATTGATGCAAAACTGGTACGAATTAAACATGTTCGAGAATGTCGTACGTAAATACATCTATCCAAAGCTACAATCTATGTTTAAAGAGTATAGGATGGAATTGCATGCCCACAATAAAAGATACTCTTGAGGAAGCTCGTGCGAATCCAACTCCTCGTTTTAAATGTGAAGATAACTGAGAGCATTAATGTAATAGATGAGAGCCTCCTAAGTGGAAGGTACGATACTTTTTATCTATACAACTATTGCACTTGGTCTAAATCGTTTAATTCGTCTATAGCAACAATTGGTAATTTTACATAACTTAATTATGTTAATACGTACCATTACTTATGTTTGAATTGAATATGTAATTAATATCAAATGTAGAAAGCAAAATAGGGTATTAAGATCAACCCAATACAATYGTTTAAAGAGACAAGGCCTCATCCACGAAGGAGTGGATAAACCCTAAAGTTGAATCAACATATGTAAAGTTTTATTTTGCCAATTTCGCTTAGGGAGTACATGTAATCCACATATAATGATATGTTATCATATCTAACCTATAAATGCATACTGAATTGATCCAATTGAAAGAAACACATGTCCAAGGAAGAATTACAATCCCTTACAGATCAGGCTATTTGTAGAACGGTATTTGGTTCATCATAAGGCTATGTTGTAAGGATAGTTGGGGCCTAGAGCCATAACAACATAGAGCAAGCTCATCACAACCGGCAATAATTCAAACAAGCCATGTCAACCATACAACAAAATACAGAAGAACTATCTCAGAGTCAAGCAGCCTTAAATAAAGCTAAAGAATAACTAGCCTAGACTCAAGCAAACTTGTCTGAAACTAGATAATAATTGGCTGCTATAAGGGAGAACGAAAATGAATCCGCGGATTGTGACATGTTATCGTATCTAAGCCATAAATGCATAATAGATTAGTCTAATTAAAAGCACCTGTCCTAGATGGATTACAACCCGTCAAAGAATCGGGTGTTTGAAGAACATCATATTATTGAGTGTGTTGCCCTAAATTCGTATTATGTATTTATGTAAAAACAAATTTATATTCAATAAAGTTTTATTCAATCATTTTGTTGAATTCAAATCATTGCATTGTCCAGAATCCAATAAACTAAACATCCAAGGTTATTGTCATGTAACCGAGACAATATATGTAACGACCCAGAATTTTCCGCACACCTCTAGGTCACATTAACTACCCAACTAATCAAATTTAACCCCGACTACATCCTGCCAACTTCCTATGCACACAAACTTATAAAATCAAGTTCCAATCCTCATCAATTTAACGATAAATCAATCTCATGGAATAACATTCAACAACATTCGTGAACCACTTCACGAGGCAAGTTTATTATTCAATCTATATGGATCGAAACAAATGGAATAAAACTCAAWTAGGCACCTATCCCGAAGCAAAACTAACAACAAGGGAAAAATCTCTCAATTATTCAAATGCAAATAAACCGTTTATTGGCCACAACATAAGGCCCTAAC